CCTCAACTGAATCATTTTAAACATGTTCAGATCTCTCCTACACCCCCCCACACACAGCCTCCACCCCATATCTCCCCGCTTCTTCATTGAAAACACTGTCAAGAGTTGTCAACGCTCCACTTCTATATTCTCTCTCTTACCACTCATTCCTTAACCTGCTCTTTTCTGGTTTTCCCCATCACTCGGCGATAATAAATCTAGTAGACAGTTTCAATCTTCATCTTATTTACCTCTCAGTAGCATCTGACACTGCTGTTCTCATCTTCTCTCCTTCCTTGGCTGTCCTAACACTACTAGTCTGGTTTGATTCCTAATTCTGGTTGCTCTCTCTTGGTCTTCTTCACAGGCTCCTCCTCTAGATAGTCACTTAAATTTTTGGAGTCCTGTCTGAGGCATTCTATCATTCCATATCCTCTCTTTATACGTTCTCATTTACACCTAACCTTGTATATTCCATTGCCTTCTTGATGTTTCTACTTAGATGTCTCAAAGTTTTCTAAAATGTAATGTAGGTCCAAAAAATAAACCCACAATTCTTTCAGTAAAATCCACTCCAGAAACCTAAGAGTTAACCTCTTCTTGACTCCCAAAGTCAGTCCATAACCAAGTCCTGTCAGTGTTACTTCCTAAACACCTCTCCAGTCCATCCACTCTTGTTCTTCTCCAAACCATTCTCAGAAATGCTGTCAGAGTGATTTTTTGGAGCCCCAAACCTCATCATGGCCTCTTACAGCCCTCCTTATGAAAACACTTCACTTGTTTCCCAGGGCTTTTATTATAAAGACCCAAATCCTTAACGTAGTAGCCTGTCAGGTCTTCCGTGATCTCTCATCACCTCTGTGTTCTCAGCACCTTGCACAGTGCTTTTCAAATAGCAGGAGTTCAATAAATAGCTTTCAGCCCCTGAGCCATTAGAACCCCAATTTCTTTGCCTGCAAAAGGACAGTAAATGATTCAATTATCTTTACATTCTTTTCCTCTTCTAAAATTCTACAACTTTCACGTGTTCTAGGGCAGACTATAAAACCAAGTGGAAAAATGATAAATGCATCATGTTCTGATTTTCTCATTCCCAAAATCTTACTGGTTTCCTCTAAAAGCTAGCCAATGTATCTTCTTTCTCTAAGGAAGGTGGAGTTCTTCGTAATGACCTTGCCTATCCTTTATGATGGTATTACCTGTGAGAATGCTCCCTCTGTCTGATGTGACCTGTGAAAGGAAATCTAGATCATATCCCCATCACAGAATCTCCCAGGACTACTGTAACCCCTTTCCTCACTACGGATGATCTCTCTACTTAGTATGTGTCCTTCTCCAGCCTTCATATCCCAGATTCAGTAACAGATTGCAATATCTACACAGATACTCCTGATCTCTGCAAGTTACTTCAGACCATGCATACCTAGGGATAACTGCTGGGTTTCAAACTTGCTGAGGATGGCTCACTTGGAAAGCTAGTGCATATTACCTTGAAGCCCAGAGGTGCCTGATGGCACACATCATCCTTCTTTCCAGCAGCTTCAGGGTCATTTCCTGTATGTCTTCTCTTATTTTCTTTTACCAGTCATCCTACAGCTGTTCCTCCCCCTCCCTCTTGGTTGTCACCCTCCGAATCAGCTTCACCTTTATGACAAACTCCTAACTAGCCTTACTGCATCTAGAACCTCCTCTGTCCAATTCACTACTATTGGGTACACTTTAACAACACTGGCCTTAATTTATCAGTGTCCCATACAAATACTTTTATTTTTAATTTTGTCATAAGATAAAGATGAAACTGTCTAATCTGCCATGAAAAGCGTTCCATTTTCTGGCTCTTAAGTAATTCAGATCTTCCTTCCATTATTTTTCAGCACAACCTTCTACTCTAGTCAACCATCTTTTGAAAAATATCCTAGTCACTGTCATCTCTGTCTGGGTCAGCAATGACTCCATTTTGCTAAATCCAGCTTTTGTTTCTCAGTCCTTGTTCTTTTAGACCCACCAGCAGCACTGAGTCAGGTGATCACTCTCTCCCTCTCCTCCTTGAAGCCTGTTACTTGGCTTACAGGCCACCACAGTCCCTTGGTTTTCTTTCTACCTCACTTCACTGTTTGCGTGTTCACTTTATCTTCCTGACCTCATAATATTTAAGCTCTCAGTTCAGTCCTTGGACCCCTCTTTTCCTGTTTACACTCACTCCCTTGGTGACACTGTCCAGTTTCAGGGCTTGTAATATTTTTATTCAACTGAACTCTAGAGTCGTATACCCAATTGCCTACTCAGCCTCACCATTTCAATGTCTTAGAGAACCTCAAATTTAACAGGTCCAAAACCAAGTTTTAATATTCAGTGTCCCCCATCCCCTCCTCACACAGAATGTGCTCCACCCACTGTCTTCCTTATCAGAAAAGGCCAACTCCATACTTAGCTCAGGCTCAAAACCTTGAAATGAACCTTAATTCCTCTCCTTCTCTCATACCACATTAAATCCATCTGCAAATCCTGTTGGCTCTACCTTCAGCCATACACAGAATGTGATTTTTCACCACTCTCACTGGTCACCATCACCTCTCACTTTCTTTACTTGGCTTTCAGGAGACAATAACCTCCTAACTAATTTCTCTGCCTCCTTGACTCTACTGCATCCCTTACAGTCTATTTTTAAAACAGCCAAAATAATACTTTAAAAATGGAAGTCAGATGTCACACCTCTGTTCAAAACCTTATCTCACACAGAGAACAAACCAGTCTCTCAAATGTCCCTATGTGATCAGGCTCCCCATTCTTTCCCGATCTCCTCCTATATCACCTTTCTGTCATGTTCTCTCGTTGCCTCAGCTGCAGCCCCAGTGGCCTCCAGGAGCGTGACAAGAGTGCCTTCTCCCTCCCTCTACCCCTCCCCTGCCCCCTAGGATCTTTTATGATCCCTTTTCCCGTAAATGCTTGGCTAGATTTCTACACAGTTTGTGCCCTCACCTCCCTTAAATCTTTTCTCAAATGATGCCTTTTCAAAGAGGCCTTCTCTGACCCCTTTATCTAAAACTGCAATCCTACTTCGACTTCCTAACTCCTTCCCTGCCTTATTTTTATTGATTACACGCTTTACCATCCTTGCACTTTAAAATTTTACTATTTTCCAGTTCTTCCCTAGTCCATGAGATCAGGGATTTTTGTCTCTTTTGCCTACTGTTGAATCCCTAGTGTCTTCAACAGTCCCTGGCACACCGTAGACACTAATAAATAAATACTGGATGAATGGGTCTCTTCCCCTTTGTTCACGCTAGCCTCGTCACTGAAATCTCTGCTTTTTAAATTGTACGAATCTTTCAGAACCTGATGCTTGGGTTAGGGAAGGTAAAGAACAGCACAGAGAAAGAAATATAACCCCAAGACAGATAGCAGTAAAGGAGCACAGCACACAGCTGTTTTAAAACAGTTTGAGTCTCTAGACCAGATAAAGTATATTCCTTGGGGCTGAAAGAACTTTCAGATGTGCCGAGAGCCAAGGCAAGGAAAATTAGAGCAAGTGTGGAGAAGACTAGAGGTTGGATAATGTATTGACTTTCAAAAAGAAGAAAAATGATTCCTTAATCTAAAGAATAATATTCTAGAATACATTATTAAATGGAAAGTTTGTGAACAGTGAGGAAAATATATGGAGATCCTTAGAGACCTAGAAGGATTTCAGTAAAAATTAGCTCAAACCACCATGATTTCATTTTTTGATAAGATTACTAAATTGGAAGACTGGAGAATGGCCATGAACATAATATATCTGGATTTTAAGGGAGGTTAACAAAATCTCCCATGATTTCATTATAGATAAAATGGTGAAATGTTGGCTACGTCATCGTAGTGTTCAGTTTGTTTCCAATTAATGGAAAAAACATTTCACAACTAATGAGTAAAGACTTGATGAGTAAGGAAGAGTTAGACTTTGGTTTTGAACATTTCACTCTGATGAAGGCAGAAGGCATAGCTATCATGTATATCCTCCAGAGGAAGCTGGGAGGGATGACAAATGGAAAATAATGTCAAGATTCAGGATAATCTCATGGGTTCATGGTGGCTTTTTAAAGGTTTTTAAATGATGTATCCAACTAATTTAATAGGGTAAACTCAACATAGATTTAGGTTCAAATAGGCTTTTCTATTAGTATCAAGGATAAGGGAAGATCTGAATTGGTCTTAGATGATTACCAGTTCAATATGAACAGTGGGGTATTTCCTCAACATAAAGTCAATACCAAGTCTGGGCATGCTCTACCCAAAGTTGAGCATTTCTACTGCACCCTGCCCTGATCGGACCATATCTGAAGTTCTGTGCCCAATGGAAGCTCACCTAGATGTCAAGAGGTCTTTCTGCAAAACTCAACTAAGGAAGAGCTGAAAACAAATTAGCACTTTACTCTGCGTAGTAGATTACAGAGAGACTGTAAAGATTTCTAAACTCCTCAAAAGGACTGCATAAGATTCTCCAGGGTAGCGAGGCGCTGTAAGGACAGAGCCGTTCACCGGTGTGATCCGTCACTCTGGAAGCCAGCGCGTACACCAGGGCTCCAGGGCAGGTGGAGAGGGCCGGGAGTCTCGGCCGAAGGATATTCTGGAAAACTTGCTAGGAGTCCCGGGGGCTCCCGAGGGCAGGGCCCGACCTCTCCCCGCACCCTCCGACCCTCGGGGATTGGCTCTCTGGCGGGGACACGCGCGCCCAGGCCCGCGCTGGACACACCCAGGTGCCGCCTCCGCAGGGTGCGGCCGCGCGCTCCCTGAGCTCGGACGGCGGGGGCCGCGCCGGCGCCGTAACCGTAACAGCCCCCGGGCCTGCCGGCCGCTGGGCGTGGCCTCGCGAGGCTCGGCGCGCGCCCCGAGGCGCGGAGAGTCTGCCTGCCAACCGATGGCGTCATGGGCACCGACCCGCGACCGGCGCCACTCGCCCCGCCCCGGCTGCGGACCCGAGAGAGCAGGAGCTTTGCTTGCCCCAGTTCAAACCCGCCCCAGAAGATGTCTCAACTCTCCAGTTTCGAAAGGGCCTCCATATTTCTCCACTGTTGCAGAGCCCCGGGCCCTCCTGGGGGTCGAGACACCACCCCTTAATGAGCACCCCTCAATCCCAGTCCGCTCCACTCAGCGCCCACATCCCTTCACCTGTAGAAGGCCGTGTTGACCCTCTTTTCGCTAGGGAAGCCCAGCATCCCGCAGACCACGTGGCTGTTCTGGGCGCTCCAGCCTTTGTCACACACTTGCGACCAGCCCTCGGGAAGCCTGACTTCGACCAGTCCCTCGGTCACTGGCAGGGGCCGCCTGCCCCGCCCCACGGCCGGTCGAAGTCGCACCTCCTCCACTTGCAGGTGCTGTTCTACCTGGGATGGGACCACAAGCAGAGGAAGGAGAATCAGTGGCGCCTTTTACATGTCCTCCCACCCTCACGGACCCCTGATCATGTGCTCGCTGTAAGCCCGTGGGGAGTAGGGGCTGCCACAGGGCTGGGAGGCATGCCTGCTGTCTGTGATGAACTGACTCTCCTGGACCACGAGAGTGGAAGGAAGGGCATGTGCTCTGAGAGGCGATTGAGGGTGCTGAGGAAGCTGAAGAAGCTGGGGAAGGAGCGCCCAAGGCGGCCCCAGCATGAGGGAGCAGTTCACAGAGGAAGTGGTATGGAAGCAGTAGGAGAGATTAGGAAGGGAGATGTTCCAGGAGAGCAGGAACACCTGAAAGGAGGGAGAGCAAGGGATGCCCTGGGGACCAGGGATGAAGCTGGAGAGGCTCATGCCAGGCTTAGTAACTTGAATGCCAATGCTAAAACAAACCTGGGCTTTAATATGTCTAGCTCTATCCTCTGTCCCCACCCCCTAAGCCTCCCACCAACCCAAATTAGCCTGTGGGGCATATGGGATCCCCTACCTTCTAGTATCCCTTCTAACCACATATAACCACCCTGGTCATCCTGGGTGGGGTGTGTGTGTGTGTATGTGTGTGTGTGTGTGTGTGTGTGTGTGTGTATGAATGGCAGACCTCAATGACATTAGAATCTGAGAAGCCGGGGAGGCGCTGGTCCTTGCAGATGACTCCAGCATCCTCATCATGGGTACAGTCACTGTTCCCCCAGCCCCGGGAGGCACATTCAGTCACACTCTGCTCAGTCCCACTGCAGCTCAGGTTGTCCAGCCAGATGCGGCCTGTGGAGAGAGAGATGGGGGGTAGAGAGGCTTGTGGAGGCAGGATGGAGGAGGGAGGGAGGTGATGGGGATTTTGGGGAGAGTGAGCACACAGGCCTTGCATCTGGCCATGATGATCCCATTTTTCCGGTAAGATAATGGGTGTGCAAGAGACAGGACACCCTGGGAGTTAAAGGGAGCACAGGATTGATGGAGGGTCAGTGTGATCTGGGGGAAACTCAAGAAGTTGGTACGGTGAATAAACAATCAAGAGTCAACACTGAATTTCTGATCAGTCCTGACCTATTCAGTGAGAGCTACAATTTATCGAGTACCTGTTGTGTGTTAGGCACTCTGCTATGTATACATATACATGATTACTCTTAGATCTGCCACCATTTTACATAAAGAAATTGGGGTTCAGAGAAGTTAAGTAACTTGCCTAAGACCACACAGCCAATACACGGGGACTTAGGGGTTTAAGCCATTTGTGAGACTTGGAAATCTAAGATCTTTTCACCTCAGCCTCGCTTTCTCCCATGGGCCTGCCCTGTCTGTGCTGCCACATTGCTCCCTGGACCACACTGAAATGAATATCTGACTTCTCAGAGTTGGATGGACGCAATCCACATGGGATTCCACCCAATGTGACTTGTCTGTCCCAGCCAATGGCAGGGACCCATCATGCACCTCCTGACAGGACTTACCCAGCTTCTGCTGGGATGCCTACTTCCTGCCCCACCAGGCCCCTGGAACCATCACAGAAGTCCTCATGACTATGACTTTGCCCCACCAGGTCTGATTCAGTCCTTTGCTGCCATCCAGAAAACTCCCTTAGCCAAATGACTGTCCTCATATTTGAAGACAACCTTCAGGTAAACGCTATCCAAAGCTTTTTCTTTTCATACCAAACACCCCTGGTTTCTTCAGCTATTCCCTCTTGAAACTTGGCTTCCAGTCTTTCACATCTGGGCAGCTCTCCTCTGAAAGCATTTCCATTTTCTACTGTCTCTCTTAAATGTGGCACCTACAAGGGACACTTTATTCCAGAAGTGGTCCAGCAAGTGGGGAGTGGGGGATGCGCTGCAGACTGCAACTGGCTTCTGTCCGTCAATCCTTCTGTGGGCTCATACAATGTAAGCACTTTCAGGTCTCAGAATTCCTCCTAAGCCCCTACTACCCACATTCATTCTTGTCCTAAGAGTTTATACTTGTTAGTTCCAAGAAAGCTTAGTCAGAAAGCTTAGTTCTAAGAAAACTTAGTTCCAGCTTGTTGGTTTCAGCTCTTGCCTATAATCCGATTTTGTCAGCTGCGGTATCTGTGATCCCTTCTGGTTGGGGACATCCAGACATCATTTATCTGCTCTCAGCTTTCCATCAAACTAGCTGTGCTTTACTCAGACAGGGCTCACCTGTATCAGGGCTGTCCTTGCATGTGTCTTTGTGGAATCACGCGTTTGCCGAAGAAAGGCACTTAGAGATCGCCTAGTCATTTTGCACATAGGGCATCTGAAGTTCAGAGAAGGCACTGACCAGCCTAAGGTCATGCAGGCCTGAGAACTGACTGTCAACCATGGCTCTACTTGACACTGGTTGTTTCTGATGTCCTGGCTGCCTGCGCCTGGCCTGGTGTTCCCTCTCCCTGTCTTAAGGCAATACCTAGGCCACACATGGAGCACTGCTCACCTGTTCCAGGGCCGTATTTGGCACTGTGGGTCCAGCCCGTGGCCTCTGTGAAGCCCAGCTCCCGGCAGAGGACGTGGGCAGCCTGAAGGGTGAAGTCGTCATCGCAGATGGTGCCCCACTCGCCAGCTCGCTGGATCTCCACGCGGCCCTCGAAGGGCTTCCTGGGGAAGCCGGCCAGCCGGAACCGCAGCCCCTGGCTGCCAGCCCTGTCCTCGGGGGCCGTGGCCGGGGATGGAAACCCCAGGCAGGAGCTGCACAGCAGGGACAGCAGCAGCCCCCATGGGCTCCACGGGCAGGTTCTGACATGTCGCATGGCAGGGAAGGCCTGGGGGCCCCAGAGAGAGAGTGTGTGAGAGAAAGCGAGACCAAGCCAGGCCTGGGTCGCAGAGAGAGGTCAGGAGAGGAAGAGAACCCTGAAAAGGACAGAGACAAGAGACTGTGTGAGAGAAAGCCAGAGATCCAGGGACTAAGTGAGAAAGAAACACAAACTCAATAAGAGCAGAAACAGAGCCCGAGAGGTGCAGACTAGGGAGGGGGGAGAGAGAGGGAGAGAGAGACAGAGACACAGAGATAGAGAGGCTCTTCCTCACCATCAGCTGTTCTGCCTCACAAGGACCTTTCCTAGCTCTGTCATCATCACCTCCATTATCCCCACCCACTGCTCTAAGAGACCCAAAGATCAAAAGACCGTGATTAGAGACCAAGAGGCAGAGAATGGTTGAGAGAAAGAGATAGAGACTGAGCCAGAGGGAGACCCAGACAGGATGTGAGAGGAAGGGAAACTGTGGGAACAAAAGGGGAGCAAACAAAGAGACAGCAGAGAGAGACAATGTGGAAGACGGATAGAAGGGGACCGTGAGAGAGCCAGCGCACAGAGCAATGGAGAGATGCAGGCAACAGGTGGGGTGAGGGCCTGGCAGGAGCCAAGGAGGGGTGGCGGCAGGAGCCTAGATGATTCCATTCAGCCAGTCAGACAGAGGACAGACAGCTACTGATTGTGGAGAGAAGCAGGCCAGGGGGCTTAGGAGCCCCTCAGATCTTAGGTTCTCTGATTGGGAGCCAAGCCCAGAATCCTGTCTGGGCAGATTCCACGGCGGAGCCGGCAGAGACCAGGATGCACGGAGAACCCCGTGCACACCCTACCCAGCACACAGGCTCTCACATGCCCTGCAGGGTCAAGGGGCCCAGGAGGGCCAGGCCTCAAGCTGGGAGGGGGAATGGGGTGGGGTTGTCCAAACCTCCTGCCAACACTGCCATCGCTGTCACTGGGCAACCGGAGGCCAGGGCGCCAATCAGCTCCTCAGCCAAGGCCTTCCCTCTGTCTGGGACTGAGAACAGCCCCTCTCCAGCAACGGGCCCCCCAAACATGCTTTCCCCAACTCAGACAAACAACACAACAGGACAGCTTTGTTCTGGGGACATTTTGGCTTGGGGGCCCAGGGGTAGGGCCTCACAGAGGAGCCTCCAGGCTTAGGGCCCTGGCCGCTGCCCTATTTGGAACACCCTGCAGACCCCCCACCCGCCAAATATCTGCCTCCTCACTCCACGCTTCTTGTGTCTCTCTCTCTTTTTTTTAAACAATGACAAAACCCTCTGTTGGTTGGTTACCCTCGACCCCATCCCGCATCACCCCTTTTCCGTGGTCCCACCACCATCCTCTCCATCCGAAACTCCCCTTCCTCCCGCGGCAGCGTGACTCCCCTACCTTTGGCTGAGCGGGGCTCTAGGGGATGGGAGAAGAGTCCAGGTCCTGGAGATCAGTCCTAGGACTTCCCAAAAAAAGTGCTCGGCCAGGGGAGACTGGACCCCCCCTCTCTCCCCCCTCTCCGTTCGTCCCTCCCACGTCCCTTTGAGCCCTCCCACATTCCGCCTTCTCCTTCCATTCCTCCCTGGCCAGTTCCCTCCTCTTCTCCTTTTGGTCCTCCCCTCCCCCGTGGAGCTGGCCGCGGCCGCTCCACCTCCCCCCACCCCCCACCGCCGACCCTCCCCCGGCCTGCTCAATGAAGCTTTCTTTTCCCGCGGGTTGGAGGCCGGGCAGCTGCGGTCAGGGAGCTGGACACGCAAGAGGCCACGGGGCCGCGGACCAGCCCGGGCGGCGGCCCCTGAGGCGGCGGGAGGCCGCGGCTCAGCTCCCGGCTCCGGGAAGACTTCCAGTCCCCAGCCCCCAGCCCCCAACCCTTCCCCCATGTCCCGGGCTCCGCGGAGTGTAAACAGCCAGACCCCTGCCGGGCTAGGGGCGGGTCCGGTCAGGGGACCTGAAGCGTTGAAGGGCCGCAGAGCCCCTCCGGTGCCCCACGGTGCCCACTAGCATTTTTCGGGGTGACGTCACGGCCTTCACTCTGATGTCACGTTGAGCATATGACGTCCTACACAGCCCGTAAGCCCAGGCGCCAGACCCCTCTGGCCGAAACCTCGAGGTTTCTCCTGGTGGAGCCATTTGTGCGCGTCCCAGGGCTGTGGCAGGGGTCTGAAGGTGGTGAACCGTCCAACTATCTGGGGACCCCCTCCCTTTTTCTTTTGCGGCTCTCCTTGCTCCTCCTTCGCGGTCCGCGGAGGCCGGGGGAGGGGCGGGAACGCCTCCGGTGGCGCGGTCCCGCCCCTAGCCCGCAGGGCCAGGAAGCGCGGAAGGAAGCGCCGGGGGCCATGGACGGAGCTGTGATGGAAGGGCCGCTCTTTTTGCAAAGTCAGCGTTTCGGTACCAAGGTAGTCGGGGGCAGGGGTTGCGGAACCCCATCAGACTTAGGAGTGGGCTGTAGAGCCCAGAGGGAGGGAGGGGGCGGCAGCGGGTTGGAGCGCGGGCCGGGAGCTGAAGAACCCTATGACGTTCCCGCGAAGTTGATTGCACACTCCGGAGAAGGTCCGCTGGCCTCGGGTACGCCCTCTCTGGTCCTGGGGAGACGGAGCTGCATTCTTCTCGGGAAACTTCGCCCCCGGCCGGGAAGCTGCAGAGCCGAAATCGGCCTGCGCCGGCGCTCGCCCGCTCCCTCCCCAGCGTCTCGCTCTCTCTTCCCAGAGGTGGAGGAAGACCTGGGCGGTACTCTATCCTGCCAGTCCCCACGGCGTAGCGCGGCTCGAGTTCTTTGACCACAAGGGGTCGAGCTCCGGAGGGGGCCGAGGGGGCTCGCGCCGCTTGGACTGCAAGGTGATCCGTCTGGCGGAGTGTGTGAGCGTGGTCCCCGTGGCTGTGGAGAGCCCCCCAGAGCCTGGCGCCGCAGCTTTCCGCCTGGACACCGCGCAGCGCTCCCACCTGTTGGCGGCGGACGCGACGTCCAGCGCCGCCTGGGTGCAAACACTGTGCCGCAATGCCTTTCCGGTGAGCGGTCCGGGGCTGCCCGCGAGGGGCTGGGGCGAAACGCACTGGGCCCAAGAGGCGACGCGAGGTGGGGGCGGTTACAGCAGCAGAGGGCCTGGGCCGGCTCGGACCCTGGCAACAGCGGTGAGGGAATTGCAGGGTCCTCGATACTCTCTCTCCTTACCCCAGAAAGGAAGCTGGGCTCTGGCGCCTGCGGAGAACCCACCCAAGCTTTCTGCCCTGGAGATGCTGGAGAACTCGCTGTATAGCCCCACCTGGGAAGGTAGACGCCTGAGCCTGGGCAGGGATGGGGTGGAAAGAAGGGTGTCCTTAGGAAGGGAGTGATTAATGGGGATCATGGGGAAGTAGGAAGCTCCTGAAGTTTCCAAGTGAGTGCTTGGACAACCTGTCCCCACCTCCCCAGCGCCCTCACCTAGCAGTCTGGCCGGTTGCCAATCTAATTGTGTATTCCTTCCAGGATCCCAGTTCTGGGTAACAGTGCAGAGGACCGAAGCCGCTGAGCGCTGTGGCCTGCATGGCTCCTATGTGCTGAGGGTGGAGGCTGAGAGGCTGACTCTCCTGACCGTAGGGGCCCAGAGTCAGATACTGGAGCCACTCCTTTTCTGGCCTTACACTCTGTTGCGCCGCTATGGCCGGGACAAGGTGCGGGGCGGGGTGGGTGGGGTGGGGGGGGCGGTGCTGTCAGGGAGCCCCGACTTCCTGGGTCGGGGTAGCTGTGGGGTGGGTGGGGTGGGGCAGGACAGGAAGAGGGGAAGCTCTGTCCTCTGGATAACCCTTCCTTGCTTAGCCCGTGGCCGCACCTCCCTCCCCAGGTAGTCTTTTCTTTGTAGATCCTCTATACTAGGCCAGGCCCTGGGACTCATCTCCTTTCATGGCTCCTGGTAATGTGTTTTCCTCCACACCTTCTTTAGGTCATGTTCTCTTTTGAGGCTGGTCGCCGCTGCCCTTCAGGCCCTGGAAACTTCACCTTCCAGACGGCACAGGGGAATGACATCTTTCAGGCGGTTGAGACTGCTATTCACCGGCAGAAGGTCCAGGGAAAGGATGGTCAAGGGCAGGATAGTCTCAAAGCCGATTCCCAGGAAGGAGAAGTGGCAGAGGGGAAGTTGGCATCCCTGCCTGGCCCTCAGGAGCTCCTGGGCAGCCCTCCCACCCTGTATGCTGAACCCTTAGACTCCTTGCGCATTCCTCCAGGCCCTTCCCAGGATTCCCTATATTCAGACCCCCAGGACAGCACCCCTGCTCGGGCAGGGGAGGGAGTACAGTTCAAGAAACCTCTTTATTGCGGCTTGTACGAGCATGTGCAGCAGCAGTTGCTGAAGGCCAAGCTGACGGACCCCAAAGAGGACCCCATCTATGATGAACCTGAGGGCCTGGCCCCAGCTGCTCTCCGGGGCCTTTACGACCTGCCTCAGGAGCCCAAGGATGCCTGGTGGTGCCAGGCTCGGGTGAAGGAGGAGGGCTATGAGCTCCCCTACAACCCTGCCACTGATGATTATGCTGTGCCACCTCCTCGGAGCACAAAGCCCCTTCCAGCTCCCAAGCCCCGGGGCTTGGCCTTCCGTGAACCCAGAGCTGCAACTGGTGGTGGCAGCAAAGGCCACAGCTCAGACACTGCCCTGTACAGCCAGGTCCAGAAGAGCAGTGCCTCAGGGAGCTGGGACTGTGAGCTGTCTAGAGCAGGGGCTGACAGGACCGGGGTCAAGTCCGAGGGCTCCACATGAGAGGTAGGGCAAGGCTGGGGTTGCTGATAGGGCCACCACGGGGAGGTGGTACCGGGATCAAAGAAATCTATTAGAACCTGCAGGAACCAGAGGGCTGGAGAATCCTGTGTAAGCCAGCCCAGGGGACCTGGGGGGGATCAGGGGAGTCAAGGGAAGGATGATCAATCTCAAGAAGTCCTGGAAGTGGGACAGATGGCAGGGGTGAGGGATGGGACCTGGGAGAGACCAGCACCCCCAAGTCATCCTCCCCAAAGGAATGGACAGCTGCCAGACCAGGTCTATGAAAAGGGGTGCTTGGTTTGAGTTGGTGCAGTTTGAGGGGTCTGCATGGAGGCTCTAGGGTGATGCCGGACTGTGCCTGGATCCTCACCCCTGCATTGTTCTTTGCCAGAGACCTAGATTTTAAGAAGTTTATTCTCATTAAAGTCAGCTTGGGTTTAAGAGGTCTATGTGTGTGAATAGTCACAGAGGGGACACGGTGTGCTGCGTGGGTGTGGAGGGGATCAGGAGAATGTATGGGGGGGCCACAGGAGGAGGAAGGGGTCCCAGGGAGGTGAGTTGAGCATTGTGGTGGATGAGAACCTAGGTGGTCCACTCAGGCCCACTTGGGCTTGAGCCTGTCTCTGGGATGCTGGGTGAGTTGTATAACATCTATAACCCTCAGTTTCCCTCAATGCCCCTTTGTAAAATGGGAAAACCCAACAACAGATTCTACTTCACAGGGTTGTTTGTGTGAAAGGAGTTAAGTTTCTCAAGTACTTAGTGCAGTCTGAAGCACAGATTAAGCATTTTATAAATGGTAGTTATTCCATGGATGGAGAGGGCCAACAGAAAGGTGGACAGGCACGGGGAGAGGAGAATAGGAAGGCAATAGGTCTTTTTCACACCATCTTTTCCTCCTGTTCTCAGCTATATGACACCACCTGCCCCAACACACACAAATCCACACACGTGCGTACGCGCGCACACACACTTTACCTACAGTTACTCAAGCACCAACCATTTTTCTGTTTGAAGGTCAAAGGGAACTGCTGTGTGGTGGGTGTAGTGGGAAGAGCATAGGCTTCGGAATGAGGCTTAAATTTCAATGTACTTATTTTTCATGAGCTCTGAAAACCTTGTCCTTCTCTCCTGAGGTCCAGTTTCCCAAAGGTGACCTGACCTCATCTACCTGCTTATAGGGAACTACAAGGAGAAATTCAGGGTTGGGAATGCTCTTAACAATAGTGGAGACTTACTAGGTATTTAATCTTCATCTGTGTTAATGGTATCAAATGATCCAAAAGAAAATGAACTCCTGCTTGGAGAAGGAAAAAGTTCAGGTGTGTCTCTTCTGGGCCTGAGTGGCGGGGGCCGGGGCGGTAGCAGCACGGAAGACAGAGGAGGGGAAGGCTCTGTTTCCCAGTCACCTGGAGCTCACAGAGGCACAAGTGGACAGAAGGCAAGTCTCACCATGGAAAGCCATTCATTGCACGAGCCTTAGTATGGATGTGGTTGAGCAGGGCAGCCGGGCTCTGGCGCTGGGGACTCAGGGCCCCCAGGGATACTCCTCCTCTTTCTCCTCCCCCACTTCCTCCTTGGAAGGCCAGAAGAAGGCTTCTGAGGAAGACTTGCTGGCTGCTGGCATCTGGAGGGCTCTGCCAGGGGTTGGAGTCATAGGCAGGGGGGCCACTGTGGCTCGAACTCGGTTTGTCTGTAACTGCCCAGCCTGCAAAGAAAGCAAGCTGACTTCTCTGAAGCCCAGACCACAGTTCCTGATCTCCTGTCCTGTTCCCTGTTTTCTCCTATCCTAACTCCTTCGTGTGTTCCATCCCTTGAGTGACAGCCTCAAGGCCCAGGGCAGTGGAGTCCCCTGGGCTCGTCTCCACAGCGCCCATCTCCTGGCTGAGTGTCCCTCCTCTGTTAGCTTGCATACCAGCTAACTAACTTGTGGAGGGCTCTTCTCCCATCTCTAGATTGACTGTAGTTTGGAAAGATCTTTCTTTTATAATTTCAGCTAAGGCAAAGCAGGAGTTTCTAAAGTTCTGTTACTGAGAAACTAGGAAAAGATTAATAGGGACAAAGGGAAATATTGTAGAATATGAATTTCATAAAAATAACTCCACCCTCAATTCCTTTTCTCTCTTTAACTCTTATTGCTAAAGCCCTGACTCCAGTTGACTAACCTTGGTCAGCCTCCTTTTCCTCATCTGTACAATGAGCATTAACACTTACCTTGCAGGGACGCTGTGAGGATTAAATGAGAAAGACACATGTGAAAGCACTTGTCACCAAACCTGGCAAATGGCTGTTGTTCAGTAAATGCTAATTTCCTTCCCTTTGGACATTTATTTTTCCACCTTCCATTTAGCCTCTTCTTTAAACAGAAGTTGTGGTCTTGGTGCTGTCAGTTTGCTTAGTGGGACAATGGTCTGTTAAATGACTAATGAGTTATCATAAGTGCTACAGTTAAGATACCTAAACATTATCATATGTAAATGCCCAGTGCCCAGGCAGAAAAGCGTCCCTACCAGGCAGGGATTGTAATTTCCTTTGTTTAGGGCAAAACGCTGGTCTTTTTCTTCTTCCACTGTTGGCTTGGTTCTCTCCTCCACGGTGGTGGGGGGGGGGGGGCGCGGAACCCTGGGCAGTGGGCTACTCCCTTGATTTCGGGGAGAGGGGAGTTGAGGATAGGGTAGGAGGGCTCTCTCTGGGTGTAATGGGGAGGCAGGGGAGTAGGGAGGGAGCTGTACCTTTCTCAGGGCGCGGCTCTCCCAGCTTGGGTGGAGGCGGTCCTGAGGCTTGATAAAGGTGCTGCTCAGGTGTGAGTACAGGTGGCTCCAAGCCTGCAAGGGGTTGTAGGTGGGCTCTAGTTCCAGGCTGTCCAGCACGCTCTGATGAAGAGAGAAGAGGAGGCTTACCCAGGGAACTTGAGGTCACAGAACACAAGATGTCAGGCAGAGAACTTGGAGTGTGAGAGGCTGGAGGATGTGTGAAGACCCAGCGCTTCACTGAAGACTGAAATAGATGTGGGTCCCACTGGGTGTCCTGGCCCCCAGATCTGAGTGCTTGTGATGATGTACAGTTCTGGCAAGAGTATAACAAGTAGATGCAACCTTGAGTGGTTAGGGACGCGGAATAGTCTGACCCCAAGAAGTGTGTCATGGAATTCTGAGAGGGGCTGGAGTGCCGTGAGGGTTACAAGGGATCCGGCAGGAGGGGGTGTCCGAGGCCTGGGGGTGCTCACAGTCTGCTGGTCGAGTACACTGAGTTCTCTGCCTGGCCTGTGAGGTGAGCATAGCCTGAGGACACACAAGCACAGCATTCCTGAGCAGTCAGGTTTTCCGGCCACAATATCCTGTGCCAGGAACCACTGGCCCCGAAGTGAGACATTGAGTGAGCCATGACCACTCGTGCCCACCTTTCTCTGCATGCCCATGGCCGCCAAGGCAAGAACACAATCCCAGGCTCTGTCCTCTCTGCACATAAGCCAGTGATCCAGCAGTGATGTGGTTCCAGTTCTCCTTGCCCAGAGCCCCTCCTTCTGCCCTCAGCCAGGGGAGGCTGGCAGAGGAAATCCAGAATCCAGATCCGAGGAAGAGAGGAGGAGGAGGGGGAGGAGCGGGAGAAGGGGGAGAAAACGGCCAGCAGCGCAGTTCCCTCTGATGTCTGGGAGTCTCATTTTGAAGCCCTTCCTATCCCGGACGCCTACACTGGCTACCTTTTCCTCAACAAACAAAAACAGATGCACACAAACAGGTACCCACATCTGCACACACACAATGCAGAGGAAGACCCGTGGGAACACACCATCACACAGACACACATCACATTACTGACCCTCCACCACCTTTTTGGCACAACCACTTCTCCCTCTGCTCCCCAGTCCTTTTCCCCACAGGCTCGCTCCTCTCCCTCATCCCTTTCTCCAACTCCCAACTCTTCTCTCCCTCTGTCTGTCCCATGAGATCTGAGCTCCACGTGCCTCCACAATCTTAAGGCTGTCATCAGGTGGGTCCTCAGGCAGCAGGGGGAAGGGGCTGGGCAGCATCAGTTCCCGAGTGGCCACTGCCTTCACCAGCAGAGTGGGGGAGCGTGATGGCACAATCACATAGAAGGTGTTGGCAGGCTGTCTCAGGCTGTGTCCTCCGCTCAGGGGCTCCCCTTTGGCCAACAGCAGCCATTCTCTTTTCTGAAACAAGAACATATATAAATGCTGGTTCACCTTCAGTCTTTGGCATGTTTTAAAGATCAATCCCCATCAAGACTTCCCCAAGTTTCTCTGGAGGTGTCAGGGAGGCCCAAACCATTTTACTCTGGCCTGGGAGAGAGGGACTTCCTGCTTAAGTTGCTAGTGCCCCAAGGTACTGCTCCTCCTCTCAGCTTGGAGTTGTACACAAAAGGGTTAACAATGCAGAGACAAGAGATGCCCTTTAACCTGAAGTAGGTGTTCACCCCGGGAGATGGCTAACATATTCCTCAATGGTAAATGTAGAATTTTGAGAATTATAATTCTTAAAAAACAGAGTCTTGAAACAGAGACTTGTGAAAATTCAAGTCTTATTTTGAGGGTGAAAAAAATCTGGTTGTATTGCACAACTCAGATCAGACTGGGCTGGCTAGGGAATATCCCTGGAATACCCAGAAAGGGTTTAAGAAGGTGGTCAAAGTCACCTGCCAAGAGAGAGGAGGAGGAGAGAGCAGGGAGAAAAAAGCTTAGGTATGAGTAGGTACGTGGGGGACAGGGCCCTTGAGATCAACTCAGCCCATCACAGGACAAAAAGAAGGGTCAGAATTCTGGGGGCAATGACACCGAGTGAAAGCTACTTCAGAACAGAGGGGTGACTCTGTCATGTGCCATGGCTAAGGAGAAGAGAGATGTGGACATACCCGGATTTTGTAGGTGTGCCCTTTTATTTTATTTTTTTAAAGATTTTATTTATTTATTTGACAGAGAGAGAGAGA